GGAAGTGGTAAAAGATTGAGAGACAAGGGGGTCCTTTCCTAATATTTACTCTCTCTATTTGCACTGATGTGCAAAGATTCAATTTATCGGTACAGTGCAGCCACACCGTTAAATTCGGTATTTCTTCCGTGCATTTTTCATTGTCTAAACAGTTTGGCCACAAAATGCAGAAGAGGAGATTCCAGAGTGTATGGCTTTTGCAGGGAAATTGTTTTTTAGTAACAATACCAGTTTTCAGTTACTTTGATCAATGCTGCATCACCAAGTGGCCAGCATGGTAGCGGCCCAAAAGTAAGTTTCGTCTTCTGGAGAAATTATTAGCTCAACCATTTCCCCGATAAAAGCTTTTTAGAGCACTAATTATTTAGGAAAGCTGTTACTGATCCAAGAATAAAATCAAGCTTACGACATAATCATACTTAGATACCTGACCATCTGTTGAAGTCATCGTATTTCAACAAGATACACTCAACTATAAATATCAGTGCTTTCTTCGTCCATACGTTTGTTAGGTTCAATTATACTTTTTACTCCCTTATGATTTATTCAATTTTTAGTGGAATTCCGACTTAACTTTCCATCTCTGCTCTCTAACATTGCCTTTCGCTCACTGAAACAACTTACAATATCCTTTTGCGCAGTAGGCGACAGTGCTTTCAACAGACAACAATCCATTCCAAGAACAATACAACAGCAACAAGCTTCATGGCTGCTTGGGAAGACAGCTTCAATCCCAAGTATTCCCATGCGGCAGTATAAATTAGGCATTAAAGAGAATCAAAAGGCTGAAGAAGATATCGAAAAAAAGATGCCATTGATGACTGATGGTAATTGCAATGATCGATTGCCAAGCAATAATTTGCCATCGACAAGAAAAGAAAATCGTAAGGAAAGCATCTTCCTGGACTTCTCTAGCTTGGCAAATACCGCAATGCGTTCAATTATTCTAAAGCTTTTACTAAAATAAGTGTAAATTAACCTCACGGAGATTGATGAAAGCAGCGCTTCTTGCACATGACTTATGTGTTGCAAAGAAATTACGGTCCAAATGACCATAAATTTCATCAACCTGAAATCTCTGACTTCCAGAAAATATGGGAAACAAGCAACATGAGAATGCGCTCCTAATCGTTAAAGTGCCTTTTCTTGGTCTACGAGTAACCAAGCCCATCTCGAAACAGCTAACGCGCTGCCAAGTGTTTCTGTCGAAAGAAACATTAAACTAGTACTACATCCAGTAGATGAATCGAACGTCACATTCCGAACAGGCTAACCCCAATGCAGCACATATCAAAGCAACTGAAAAAGTTGCCAGCTGCATAATTTGAGATTCACACTATGAATTACAGCTAGCTCAAGAATCCGAAATATGCAAGATATGCACTGAGTAACAAGGATTCCGAAACAATTGCAAATTTTTAATGTCACGTCCCCTACTTCGTAAATCTCTGCATCGGACGAACTTTAATTAACTGTAGCCAATCAGATTTTGAAAATATAACTCAGTCGATAAATTTTTATTCCGAGAGAAAAGCAAGAGTAACAATAAAAAGTGCTAAGATTTTACCTCATAGACTGCAAAACCAATTGCCAAATTATCCAAGCCCTGCGGTTTTAATTCTCGTCGGTTTTTCTGCAGCACAGCAATGATAACTGTGCAAAGACCGTCAGCATCGTCAGGATCCGGGTTCGATAATGTCATACCAAATTGTGGATTATATGCAAAAGTATCTAGAAGTAAAAAGCAATAATAAATAACAATGAACATCTGTTATAGATAAAATTCTTGGATCAGCTGAAATTCATAATATGATTCTTCATCATACATCAGCCAACCTCTTCAACCGCTTTGATTAATACCTCATTGCACAGTGGTTGCCCTGTTGGTGATTCTGATGTCTATTTCACCTCCTGAATGAATTATCGGCTCAGCAGTTCTTAGTGAAACCTTTGTAAGATCTTAATGGTCTGCGTACCGAGTGTCACCACCTTTTATTAAACGCTACCACTAGCAGACTACGGCTGAATACCATATGAAATATGAGGAACATTTCGTAATATAATATGCAAATTTTAAAATGACAAATGTTTTTACAAAGAATCCGCATCTTCATACATTTACTAATATGTGGTTCTTACTTAGATAGTTTC